TGAAGCTGTGCTACGAGCTGCACAGAAGTAATCAAAGCTCCTCTCTTTTATGATCTAATTTTCAGCTGTGGCACAACAACCAGGCTCACTGCCAAGAATTGTGGAGAGAAGAGGAAAATAGACTAGAATTATTATAGCAGGATTGAGTGGATTCTCAGCAAGATATGATTGTCTGTGCTGTGACACAAGAGCCTTGAAAGGCACAGAATGAGGCACGTGCATGGCACGTATGTAAAAAGCACAAACACTATGTTCTTATTTATTATTTGGGTTGTAGTGCTGTCTCCTGGTTCTGGCTGGGAGTCTGTACTGATAGCAGCTTACCCTTTTCCCAGTGGGGACATAGTCTGAGTGGCTGGTCTGGTATCCATCTGTCTTGATTATCTCTGCAAGGGTTGCAGAGATTTGCTTTTTTTTTTTTTTGGCTTCACAGAGCTGTATCTCCTCATAGCAGTTGGGTGCTCCATCTGAACCACCATTCAGCCGGTGGCTGCCTGAAGTGAAGGTGGTTCTCTCAGGTACAGAGAAGCATGTGAAACAACCCACTGGGGACTTGTGTGTCTCAAGAGGGGCTCATGGCAGCTCAGACTGAGTTCACCTTCAGCTTCTATAGGCTGAAGGTGTCTGAGCCAGCTGCTTGGACTCTGGGCGTGGGCCTTGTCCAGGTGTGAGAGGCCGATGGCATCAGGGTGCTGTTTGTGGAGCATCTCCCTGGTATCAGAGTAGTGGGCTTTGCTCAGGTAGGTCCTGCAGACCCAGATGCAGAAAAGGGAATGCAGGGGGGACTCCAGTATGGAAATAGTCACAGGCTGTGTTCTTTGGTGTGGAGAGACAGCTCAGGCTCTGCGAGGAACTTACTGACCTAATATTTCAAACATGTCATTTGTGGAGCTGTTCAGGACTTGGCAGCCCAGTCTAGGACTTGCTGCTTCTCTCCTTAAGGGGAGTTTCTGGCTCTAATTGACAGCAGCCAGAGCAGGTTATTAATCCTGCACTGCTGTGGGGGAATATCTGAAGGGAAATGCAGCACAAGGTAGGGCTGGCTGGAGCCACGAGAGCCTGTGCAGCCAACTGTGGCCCAGGGTAGGGCTGAAGGCCTGGCAGTGTTGGGTACTGACCTGAAAGATGCAGGTCATGGAGGTGCCATCGCCTTGCAGGTGGCCTGTCCCAGCACACAGCTATCTGCACTGCTTAGAAAACTTGTCCTGATTCCTGATCTTGCTGTTGTGTATTAAAGGAGCAGACTAAACGGCCCATGAGCTTTGGAAACTCTCTCTGTGGAAGAGCCTGTGGGTCTTGTGAGATCAAAAGGCACCAAATAGAGCTGGCCTTCAAATGAGGACTCACAGGCGTCCCTGCCAGTTCCCAAGCTGGCACAGAGGACACCAACCTCAGGCATTTGAAGAGATCTCCAGCACTGAGCAGTAGCTAAATTGCTGCCTGAATGCTTTGCTTGCAAATGCTTGTTGTAGTTATGCTTCACTGTGATCTGTTTTACTACAAAGGCTCCTTATTTCCTTTGCACAGGGCAAATACATTCTCAGAGACAAAAAAGGGGAAGTGGGATGAGGTGGGCTGAGGGTGGTATAGTAATTTTAACCTGGAAACTGTGACAGATGAAGCTGTAAAGTCATTTTTCTGGGCAGCCTGTGGCAAAGTCAGGAAATGAAGCTGGATGTGCTGAGCCCAGGGCCTTGTAACCTCCTGGTCCTTTCTGTAAGAACATTTTTACTTAGCCGTATGGAAGGACCAAGCAGTAAACTATGTTTACAATTTCTATTTTTCAGACAGTGCTTTGAAATATTTTATGATGTAGCAAAATTAAGTTCACCCATCTCTCTTACAATACATAGAGATTTTTTCCAGAATCACACTCCTTTTAAAAACATATTTTCTGCCACGCTCTGCTCGCTGCCTATCTGGGAAACGTGTGCAGCTATTTGATAAATAGACTGCAGAAAACACCAGTGAAGTCGCAGTCTCCCTGCAGGAGAGGAATAGCTAAAGGGAAGAATGGTAAATAAGATATGTGTAAGTAAATTAATTCTGCTCATATAAGCTTGTTTGCAGCTTTAGTTCCTGTCTGCAGCAGAATCTTCTGATGTGCAGCAGGTGGTCGGTGTTGTTTGGGATCAGAGCGGTGAGCGTGAGAGGAGCCTCACACACAGAGCTGCAGCAGGAGCTCTAAGGAGGTAGTTGTGGTGTGTGTTTCACTGGCATTTCCTGCTGCAACGAGGTGCAGATGTGTTGCAGCCTGACAAACTGTGCAAATCCACCATTGATTTTGCCTGGTAGAAATAAGTAATTGTCTTTTTTCCTGAGTTTTCTGCAAACTGTGAGATTGCTCAGTGTGTAATTGATTTGCTTACTCAGAAAATATGGCTTTTTTGAAATACTTTAGGGAGGTTTAATTGTGAAAAGGAATCCTTTAGAACAGCACAATCCAAAACAAGCCTGACTGTAAAAATGAACAGTTATTTAAAGTTCTGCTGTTTGTTTTTTAATACTTCCAGCAGCATTGATGCCATATGGATTTATTTGTTTTGATGTGGTGAACCATGTATGCGTTTTGATGGTGGCTTTTGTTTTTTTGGTGAAGATGTGAATTAACCATAAGATTTACACTGAAGCGTTCACACTTCTGGAGGCAAACAGATGTGGGCTGCACCCTTCAGTTAGTCTTTCAGTGAGTCCATCCTGTTAAAATCTTCTGTCTCTTTGAAGCTAGAGTGTTTGAAGAGGGTAGGAGTTGCAGCCCAGCCCTGGAGTTGTGCTGCAGCATGAGGAGAGCAGCTTTGGAGGGAATGGGGCAGCCACGGGCTGTAACCTGATGTTCCTAAGTCGGAAGAAGCTTTGAAAGAGTAAACCCTGCCTGTGTTGCAGACAACAAATCCTCCACAGGTTTCATGCAAATGCACTTCAGAGGACAGGATTCATTGCTGAGCCAGCTCCAGGCTGCAGCTGGCTCTCCACAGTGAAGCTTGTTATTAAAGACAAACGAGCGAGGCTTAATAATGGGAGCTGTAGGTGAACAAATTGGGGTTAGAGAGAGCAGGGAGGTCTGGCAAAGGGGATGTAGTGCTGGTTTGCCTGTGGCTTTGTGCTGGAGCCCTGCACCCCTTCCCCTGCTGCTGCAAGTCACCCCTACTGCCTGCCTCCTGCTCTAGAAGGGATCTGTGCTTTGGGATTGAAGGGTTTAAATATAGTTTTAATAGAAGCTTTTAAAGTTGATTTCATCATTTCATTACTGTTCTGAGTGAGTGATGTTTCTGTCAGTTTATTTCAAACATGCCTGCAGGAAAGGCAGGAGATGGGGGAAGGTTATACCAGGGAGGGGAAGGAGGTGAACAGCGGGCCTGTGGTGAAGGATGTGTTGGATTTGGATGTTGCCTTCCTGTGACATTCAGTGCACGGCATGCTTTCCCTGTGGTTGGCCTGTAACCTAGGGTTAAATCTGCCATCCAGATCTTTCTCAGGTTTCCCTACTGACATAAAAGGTTTGCTTATCTTTGTCTGCTGTGCTTCTGCAGCAGACCTGCAGGTTGTTCCTCTTTGCAGCAGCATTCGGCTGCAGTTTCACTGAACATCTCTCTGGGAAGCTTCAAAGGCCAGGCTCGACCTTTGCTCCATGCTTCTTGGGGAAGTCACCTGTGTTCCCAAGCTGGTGGCTGGATGGGGCTTTTTGAACTCACTCAGCCCACCTGTTCCTCCTGTAAATTAAGTGTAGTGACCATGAAAACAAGGCGTTGTGAGTGACATCCAGCTTCCGTGGTTGCTTTGCATGTAGAGAGCCAAAGGTTGCAATATCTCCATGTTAAGCCTACAGTAAAGTGTAGTTCTCTGGATGTAATCCAGGATTCTGTGACTAATGCTCTTTAGATTCTCCCCAAAAACAGTGATCAAATGATGCATCTGGCAGCAGCACATCTTTAGAAGTGATTAAGGGTTGACAGACGTGCTGCAGAGGATCATTTCCTGCTCTGGACCACACTGGGAAGACTGAACTCTCTGGTTCAAATTGAGACTGAAATTAGCATGCAGGAAACAGTGAATTTTATTCAGCAGTTATAGCTTTGTGTTACATTTTCGTTTCGTAGGTCTTTTCCAAAGGAAAAGCCAATTCCTACATGCTGATAATCATTAAGCCTTGTTGATTTGCAACTCAGAGTAGCTTTTGTACATGGTGGGCAATGAGGATGATGCATGATTTCACGTAGGCTGGAACCAAGGGAGTCCAGAGGAAGCCCCAGAGAACAACTCATTCTTAAACTCTTCCTTTGCTGTTGAATACGTTGCTTAAACAGCAGCAAGTCATCGGCCATAGCTTGGCTTCCAAGCTGTTCAGTGGTACTCTGTGGGGCCATGCAGGGAGACCAAGAGCCTACTGCGGAGTCCTGAATGGCTGTGGGTTTGTTGTTCTGCAGTTGAGTTTGGATACAGGAAGTTCTTCCCTGCAAATAAGAATTCAAGAGGCCGAAAGTTTGACCCTTAACCCTTCACAGAAGCACAGAATCACCTGGGTTGGAAGGGACCTCAAGGATCATGTAGTTCCAACCCCCCTGCCTAGCAGGGCCACCAAACACACACATTCAGATCAGGTTGCCCAGGACCCCGTCCAACCTGGCCTTGAACACGTCCAAGGACGGGGCATCCACAACCTCCCTGGGCAGCCTGTTCCCTTGATTGTTGAGAAGCCATACTTCTTCACTTCCTTGTGAACTTAGGCTGACTTTCACTCTAACTGCAGAAAGAGAAGTTCCCTTTATCTGTGTTACTTCTTGCGCACAGATATAATCTCATCTTCATCACTGGTATAAATTTTGTATCTAGCTTATGTTTGGTGCTGCCTTTCCTTCTGGGTGGCTGCTTGCTGTTTGTTGACAGGCTGCTAGAGTTTTGTCTTCATTTCCTTTCTGGATGAAAGGAGTCAAAAGTGAGTGTCTTGATTATGTTGTGCTGAGTGGACATTGCCACTCACCTCTCTTTGTGTTTCCTTCTAGAGCTTTTGAGGAGACGTTCAGTCATGCCACACTCTCTCTGTGAGTGCTAGCATTCCAGCTCTCTGCAGTCCCATCTGAGACTCTGTGGGCAGCACGCAGTGATGGAGGACTCTCCAACAGATGTTGTGGCTGAAGACAGTGACACAGGCTTCCAAGACACAGAGGCTGAACTGGCAGAGCGGGTGGCGGCCATAGATGTGTCTGTTCACCCAGACAGAAGTGACCAAAATGGGGAAGACATCACTGAAGAAAATGACACCGTCTTTTCTGATATCGTAAAAGACATCCAAAGAAATGGAGTCAGCAGTGACGTGGAAACGAATGAATTCCTGCTCTCCCAACAACCAGACGATGCTCACTGTGGGCATGCTTCCAAGAGACCTCTTGCTAGACCTGTGCTATCAAGTAGGAAGTTGTCTCTTCAGGAAAGATCATCAGGAAGTCATTTGGCATCGAGCAACGCTCCGGGTTTTGGTCATTATGCCACAGGGCCATCACCACGTATAATGCGGAGGCCAACGATAGAGTCCAATCGAGTCTCCATCTCGGATGCTGAGGTAGGTGTGTCCTCTACTTTAACTGTGGTGTTGAGGTGGGATACGTCTTAACTGGTAATGAGAGTCTGTGGTCTTTCACAATAGTAAATCTGAAAGCAGTGTTTTTCTAAGATTCTTGAAATCAGGAATTATGTTCACTTGGAATGGCCTATCACCTTTATGTCCATCCCCTAAAGCTGAAATAGGGATCCTTCAGCCCTCACCTGCCTGAAGCAGTCCTGCTAACAGACTGGGACTGCCAGTTACGTGGTGGTAGCATGCAGAAGGCCTGTAAGGCTGTTCAGAAAATGGGCTGAGACCAACTGCATTTGTTTTCTGTGTCCCTGCATGCGTGCCCTTCGGGAGTTTATCAATTACAGCAGCTCTGCTGCTGGTATTTCATGGATTTACACTTCTGAAGTTTATACATCTCCTTTTGTGTTTGGGCATTATTGAAGGCACAATTTAATTTTATAAAGAGCTTAAATGCACTGGCATTTTCTATGCTTATCAGGATTTTCTTATGTCTTTAAAGTATTTGCATGGATTTGTAACAGCGGTGGGAACTGAGAGCCATGACTCCTCCTTCAGATGAAATTCTCTGGGTAGCTGCAATCCTTCCTGCCCTGTCTTACAGCTCCTCTCCTGGTATTAGAGCTGGGCTCAGACATGTCCCAAAGGTGTGACACTCTGCTTTTGGTCAAGCCCATCGATGGAAGTGGCTGCTGGTTGCAGCTCCCTGTGTCATGCAGGGCTGCAGTGCTGGTGGAAAAGCCTGTCCTGTCTGCTATCCCAGGAAAAAAGATCAGGATGGCAGTTTGAGCTTTTCTTTCTAGCTAAGCTACTGGTTGTGCATGCCATGATGTGAGTTACTGGGGAGGACAGGGAGCAGAGAGGGGCTCTGCTGCCTTGCCACACCAAGGGCACAGGTCACCAAGTATGCAGCAGTTTGCAGCTGTCATATGCATGGTGCATCAGAGCCTGTGAGGAAGTGGGTGTAGATCAAACTGGAACTTCAGCAGGACTTTATTTGAACGTTGAACGTGATAAAAGTGGAGTAAATTGATGGTTTTTTGAAACAAAGAATGCTTCCTTAAATGCTACTGGCTAGGAATACTTTAAGTAGGAAGAGAGCTGACTGGAGTACCAGAAAGGGAATGTCTGTTTAGTGGAGCTTGCATTGTTCTTGAGTGTTATGTTACTCCCTGCTCTAATGCCTAAAACTCATTTTTGTCCTGCCCTGTGTACTGTGTGAGCAAAACCACTAATTTCAGCCTGGAGCTTAACACATGTGGCTCAGTGCTTCCTTCTGAAAAGCAGGTGTTTTCCTCCTGTACCTCTGATGGGATTGGTGCGCGTGCAAATCAGCCACTATCTGCTGGGAATTTTTGCAAGTCGTGTTAGCTGTGAGGTGGTCATGGCTGATAAGTGAATATCTGCATGAAGTGAACTGCAGAGGTTGCAACTTCTTTGACAACAGCCACGTGCTTCAATTGGAGATGTGGGAGTGAGGAGCTGATTATTGGAAATGTGTGTGTCTGGTGTGCCAGCTCTGCCCTCCTGCAGTGCTTTGCCTGCGCCAAGAGTAGGGATGGTCTGGAATGTGCTTCTAAGTACCTGCAGTCAATTCTAGCACACTCCAGTCTGAAACAAATCAAAAATACTCAGTCCCCTCTCGCAGTATCTGCATCTCAGGGAGCAATATCTTGGGACAGGAAATGTTCAGTTGAAATGCAGCTGCGCAGTCCTTCATTTCCCTGCTCCAACAGCAATCTGTCAGACATCTGTGTTTATAATGGTCACTTGCTTAACTGCTTAGAGCCTTGCTGCAGTGCAGCCAAGATGCTTAACAGAGCTGTGCTCATTAAAAACATCGTTCATATTAATAGGGAATCGCTGCAGTAGCAGATGGAAGGGGAGGTCAGGTGAGAGCTGTGGGTGCTTGCTCCCTCAACAGGGCCCTTGGGAACAATGCTTTGGCAGTACTGCTGTCTGTATCCTGTACGAAACAGCAAAAGGACTGGAAAGATGCAGGTTGTATATGAGGTAAGTCTGAAGCTGAGTGCAGGGGTGACCACTCTCACCTGTTTAAAGCCTTTGAGTTGCTCCTTTCTCTTTGCACTGAGTACTTGGCACCAGCACTCTGTGCCTTCCCAGTGCCAGGACACCCATGGCTTTGGCTCACAGTCACTTCCTGCATAGCTTGCAGTCTGTGCGAAGATGAAGTTTATGAGCATTGAGGCTTTATCAGAGGTGCATGTGCAGGCATCATCCATCAGGAGCCGAGATGGATGGCACAGCTGTACATCAAAATTTCCTTTGTTATGCTGATAATGATCTTGAATTGAAAATGCTTTCCCTCTCCAGTGATGCTGGGAGCAATGTATCTTTCATCTGGAGAAGTAATGGAGAAACATGCTTTGGGGAGGCTGGATAAGGGCATGTGACAGATGTGAATTTTCTGTTGTTCTCCTCTGAATTATGAAGGACTTATGTGTTCAGTCAGTGATGCCACTGAGCCTTATGAGTCCAGTTCAACACTTGCTCACAGGCTGGGAGGAAAACTGATATTCAGAGATCTGAGGGCTGAGAACTAAAGCTGCAACAGGCACTGTGTGCACTTGACAGCCCCATCCCTGGTACCCTGCTGCCAGCACGTGCCTTTGGAGGGGGATAGCTTGTGAGGATTGAGGAAGGCAGTGACTCCTGGGCTGGTAGGGCTGAAACAGAGCCAGGGCTTGTTGTCATTTGGCAATTAGGCTGCCAATTAGTTGATTGCCCTGGGACAAAGTATTGATAGCTGCCTGGTGTCTTGTGGCTTCTGCTGACAAGTCTGGATCTGCAGTATTAACTCTGCATGAGAAGTAACCCATTCTGTTCCCCTGACACTTACTGTGTACTTAATTAACCCAGCCTGTCACATCTCTGATAACAAGTTCATAATTTTCAAAGCATGGGGTGTGAGATTCCCTGCTTGTTCCTCTCCTCTCTAAAGCTCTGTGTGGACCGTTGTCCGAGAAGGTCCTTCCAGCATCATGTTCCCCTATGGGAGTGCCTGTAGGGCTGGTAGCATTCTTGCTTCTCTCACCAACTCTTTGCTCAACAAAGGAATGGCTTTGCCTTTAGCTTCAGCACAGAAGTTAATAAACTGAAGCTGTTAAAGGTGCATAACTGCAGAATTGAAGTACAGGCCCAAGAATTTAGGTCACAGGCACATGTAGCTCATTGGTACGAGCACTCCCAGCTCCTGCGTGGTACTGGCAGCATGGCAGGAGGAGAGAGCTTTCCATAGGGTTCTCAAAGCACCTTCTGCTTTGCTGCACGGATGATGCCCTGGCACTTGCGTGTACCAGGAAAAGGGGGAAACAGCAAACAAGTTCATACAGACCAATGGGGATCTTGTTGCTGGGTTTGACAGAGCTTGTCCCACCTAAATTGCAGGGCTTGTATCTGTGCAAGGGTGGATGTGCTGCTTGCTGGGAAGTCACATTTGAAAATGCGACATGCTGTTTTTATTTTGCCATCCCAAACCAAGCTTTTGAGGTAGCTGAGAAAAGTTTCATTAGAAGAGTAGCTAGATGGAGAATAAAAGACTTCTCCTTCCACAGACATGCCAGCACTGTGAGTTTCTTTATACTTATCCAATCTGCTGATAATCTGAATCTGATTATTCCTCTCTTTCCCCTGGATCCACCCATGCCTACCAACCCAGTGTGGTCATCCCAGCCCCTGTGTTTGCGTGGTATCTCCCTTTGGGACCAGCGGGATGCTCTGGCTCTGTGCTGCAGGGGTGGCCCAGCTCAGCCTGGTAAGGACTGAGGCCAAGCATGCTTGAGCAGGAGTGCAAAGGATGAAGTCAGGTCAGCATGCCTTCCCTCCTCAGAGCTGCTGCTGGCCTGAGCACAAGGGTGGGGGTGAGGTGACAGGGTGTTTTCCCGTGCTCAGTGTGCTCACCCCAGAGGCACAAAAAATAAGTAATGATGTTCTTTTCTACTTTTGCTTTTCCACATCTTTACATCAGGCCTCTTGCTTGTCTGTTTGACTGGTTGGAAGCAGCTGGTGTCAGGAGCTGGGAGAGGCAGTGCTCTGGTGTCGGGCTGACTCAGGTTTTGTACTCTCCAAATGCTTGGGAGCTGCCTGATTCTCTTCACAAGGCTGTGATTTCCTTGCCTTACACAGAGATAAATCCTCTAGGGACCGGAGGAGCAACAGGGACTGAGGCTCTGGGTGGGCTGAAGCACTTCCCTCTCCAGCCCTGCAGGTCCCAAACTTCATTCTTGTACAAGTCCTGCTGCAGTGCTCAAGCTAGAGTTTTACTGAAAAGATCAAAGATGCTTGTAAAACATCCCTTCAAAGAAGAATTCCCCGCAGATGCTGCTAATTACTTTTCCTAGGACTAATTAGCCTTTATTTAAAAGTTACGTTTCCAATTTACCTGGAGCTCATTTTAAAGGTATGGCTGGGAGGAGGAGAAGGCACAAAGCCACAGTTGCAGAGGGGCTGCTTCCATCCCACTGCCCTCAGCCCCCTCACTCTTGCCTCAGTGAGAGTTGCGTGGGAAGCTCAGCTGTCATGTTATGTACTGAGGAAATCTAAAGCCATTAGCCATGCCAGCAGGCTTTGAGAGAAAGTCTGGAAAAAGATGTCTTCATTCTAGCTGCTCTCCAAATGAGCTGCCAGGGATTCAGCGAATGCCTGCCATGCTGCGTTCAGATCTGGGGCTTGGGGTGGGTGAACTCGGGTGGTGGTGCTCAGCCTTGGTGTTCTGCACAGCCACAGCCACTCACAGTGCTGGGCTGCAACTTCTGCACTTGTTGGATGATGTTTAAACATCTATTTGTTTTTCTTATCTTCTTATGAGTGCTGTGCTTCCTGTGGGTCCTTCTCTGTCCCTTAACAACTTTGTAATTTATATCCATTGCTGCCCCCGATGCCCCTTGTCTGGCTTTTATTTTCATTTAGTCTGTTTTTAGAACTGCTTTCACTTCCCCTTTCAGCTGGGGGAGAGCTTTAAAACAGCACTGTCTTCATTAGTGACTGGAAGTTCCCAGTTTTCTCTCCCATGTTTTCTCTGCAAAGCATATCTCTAAATTGATGAAACTCATAGCTATTTTGAGATTGATGAATTTGGCTTCCTTTCAGGGGTAGAATATTTCCCAATGTATGTATACATGGCCACCCTAATTATTTTTGGAAATGTCTTCTTTTGGAAGTAAGCTCTTGTTCTTCATTTCCACCCCAGTGTACCCTATGGGCAGCAAAGGCTCAGTTTTCCATTTCTCCAAGCTCCTGTCACACAGTGGTGGCAGCAGGATTTATGGATTTGGGCTTGGACTGCATTGCAATTTATGATTTTTTAAATCACTTTTTGCATTTTCTGTGTCTCTGACCTCTCTTCTCTTTCTTTTGAGTAATACCTTGGACAGGCAAACAAATGGGCACCTGCCATTTAAGATGGAACAATTACTGCATGCTTAGATGGATGCAGCAGTCTAATTCACTGACACTTCTCATTAAGTACAAACAGTAAGAAACATTATCAGCAGTTGCAGAACACTGGTGAAATCAAGAGAATTGTACAGGGTTATCTTAAAAATAATAATAATAAAGAGTTGGCCGAGAGATCGGTGTTTGTGTTTGATAAAGAAATAGTACAAATATCCCACCTCCTGCAGGAGAACCAAATGATAACATAATAAAAGACCTGCCAGTCTGCAGTGACACGTGGCAGGAGTCACCAGAGCTGTGAATTACAGCCTTTCTGCAAGGAAGGGGAAAAAAAAGAGGTAAAAAGCACCTACAGGCTGGTCTGAATTTTTGCTGAGTTGAGCACAAGTGCCCAGAGCACCGCAGAAGCTCAGATGGTGCTTTTCACCAGCAGTTATCTGAACGAAGAGCAGTGCGGGTGTGAATCGCAGGAGCTGTGCTGCAGTGAGGGAGCTATGGCAGGCTGTGCTGCAGAGCTGGATCTCTGGCTGTGAGCTGGCTGTGCCCTGACATCAGCCGTCCCTCGGCCCTTGTCTCGGTGTTGCCTTTCCTTCTAAAACTGTTCCTTCTTCATCTGTGTAGATCACTACAGTGCAAAGCACAGCTTCGCTGGGAAGTGAATCTGCTGACTTAGTGCTTTCCTGGGAATTTGTCCCTCATGTGTCTGTACCTTTGGTTCTATATGCTGCCTCATATTTGAGAAGGAGTTCCTTTTAAAATGCAGTGAGTTTATTTTCTTCTGTACATTTCAGGGATATGATCCTTCATCTCTTGTCTTTTGCTGGGTCGGTCTCTCCTCTCTTGTTGCTCCTAGTTCTAATTGATTGGGTTTTGCTGTTGGTAAGATTTGATGTGCTTTGCTATCAATAGAGTTAATGCACTTCTGTGGCTCCATTACTCACTGTTGGCTCTTTTTTCTTGTTAGGGTGGTGGAAAAAACTTTCTTCACTGGAAACAAAATGGAGATTTAAGTCATTCTTTGTATTCCTGACAAACCACTGTGAGCTATGAAAGTCATCATTTCCCCATTTCTTTATTCTCCTTCACTTTGGTGCTCACTTGCATTGGAAAGTCTTTCTGGCTCATGCTGGGGGAAGTACGAGAATTATCATATGCTGCATCAGTGCTCTAATGCATCTTGATCTGCAAACTGGTCTTGCTTTTACTGGGGAGCTGTAACATTTGTCTGTTCCTTCAAACGTATTGAAGACATCTGGCACCCCTTTTGCTGTGCTGCTGCAGATTGTGATATTTTGAGGCTTGTGGGAAGTCTAATCCACCTATCTGCGTGCTCGGTGTCAGCTTTGTTCACAGAGTGCCTAGTGTGGAGGCTAGAAGTGGGTTGCCAGCCTGCTTTAGTGTTTGGCAGTCCCAGGGAGAGAGCTGTTGTTTTTAAAATGCTGTGTGGAGAAGCACGTCCTGTCTATGGCTCAGCATATTTCATCCACGTGGGACAGAAACTCTCTGCTTCTTTCACTCCGTGGAGTTTAGGGCTGTGCTGTCCCCTGCAATGCAGTTAAATGCTGTTTGTTAAGTCTGCTCCAAGGTACAAAAAAAAAAAAAAGCCACGACTCTGCAGCATCCCCAGAATCTCTCCTTGAATAAATATTTGCAAAATAGTGAGCTGAGAGCAGTCAGCATTCCTGCTGAGCTCTGCAGAGTCATGCTGCACTCACCTCGGGAATGGGGACATGGCAGTGCTGTAGTGGGGACAAGGGATGATGCCTCTGCACCCCGTGTGCTCAGGTCCTTAGTACTGAAAGATCCTGGTGCCCTGAGCTTGGCTCACTGTGCTGACATATGAGCTTTCTCTGCGCTGCCATGGGACATGTGCAGGAGGGGCTTAAGAAAATGCAGACTCTTTGGCTCCATCAGAATGGAATTTCATCTAATTTTTGGAGAAGCACTGCCAGCACTCTGTGGGGGTTTTTTTGCATCTTTTTTTTTTTTTTTTTTTTTTTTTGAGACTAGCAAACTCATGAGAATCTTTTAATACTGTACATAATCCCCTTCCTCAACATGTTACCCTTTCAGTACAAGCTGCCCTTCAGACTCACTTCCTAGGGAAGTCGAAGAGGCTGCAGCAGCCCCGCTGTCTCTGGATATCAAGCTTTTATTGCCAGTGAGTGTGTCAGAGTTTTGTTCTTTTGCTCACAGAGTACAGCCCTGTGCAGAATACAGCAGAGGAGTTTGGCTCTGTGTTTTCTCCTCAAAGACCAATCCATGAGTCTGCTGGGTGCAGCCACAGTTGTCACAAGCAGCCCATGGAGGGTCAAGGCCTCTGCCAGGGTGATGCCAGGGATGGTGTTGTTCCTGCAGCTCTGCTGAGGCTGACATGGGTGCCTGGATGCTCATCCGTGGGAGCCATATGCTCTGTGGAGTTGGAGTTGGTGTTGAACATTGCAGTCTGATGCAGTCAGTAAATGTAAAGGGCCAGGTGCTGCTGGCAGGCTCATCAGGCTGAGCCTGGAGCAGTGCTGGTTCTTTGGGGGGTGAATGTGCTGTTGGAGCCACTGCACCACAGTCAGAACTCAGCTCATAATTGCTTTGTTATGAGCTGTCTTTATAAAACAAGCAAAGTAGTGCTTGTAGTGTAACTTAAATAAGATCTAGTCTTTGGCTGTTCAGCGCTCTGCCTCTGTTTGACACTGAATCAAACAATTTCCTTTTACCGGTACTCTAATTATGTTCTGCTTTTGATCCACAGGACTGTGTGCAATTAAACCAGTACAAGCTGCAGAGTGAAATAGGCAAGGTATGTTCCTGGAGCTGGTGTTTGTCATAAGAGACCTGCATACACGCACACATACAATACAGGTCAAAAGCCTGTGCTAGCCTGGGAGATCTTACTGGCCAAGACTTCTTGAAACTTGTGTTTGGTTCAGTTTGGGGTTTGTTTGTTTGTTTTCTTTTTTGCCTTATTAGTTTGGCTAAGTTCTGTTCAAGGTCAAAGCGGAATGACTTCCTCTGAAATCTAACTTTGTTTTCCTTCCCTCTGAAGGTGGTTATGTTGGCTTCTTTTCAAGATGTTTGCTTGCCAAATGTAACACTAAATGGTTTTAATGCATAAATACAAACCATCAGGGGAAGCAAAATAACCAAAAAAACAAAAAGAGAAGGGCAGGTGCTTGGTCCATGCCAGCACTAGCTTAAGTTTTTATTTCTATGAATGAACTACTAGTTTATTGTAGTCCATATTTAAATGCTGCAGAATGATTCAGAATAGATTGCTCCAAAGTTATTTAGAGGTCTGGGCTGTTGAGCAGTTCAGACACCTGCATGTTTGGACATCTGCCATCACTGCAGATGGATCCACAAGCAATTATGCTTTCTGGAAGCTGTACCTACTTTGGCAGTTGGTGGTTCTGGTTGAATGCATATCATGCTGCAGACTTTCACCAGAAGTTTTATTAGCCCAAACTCTTCTCCAAAGCAAGAGGCTTTGATGCAGTTTGGCTTCAGGCTGTCACTGGAGCTGTGGATATAGTAACAATCCAGCAGGCTGTTGGAGGAAGGCAGGCTGTTGGTCCTCCCTGAAGTTCATTTGCTCTAAAGAGATGAAGGGGTTTGTGGCTGAAAATGGTCTTGCTCAGAAGTGCAGAAAGGTGTCCACGCAAAGCATACAAACTTCCATAAGAAATTCTGCTCACATTATTCTCTCCCTTTTCCAGCCATTTTGGATGTAGGTCAGGCACATTGGCTTGGTCTTGGGGCAGGAGGGGATGGGCTGACACACAACTCCACCAGTCAGCGTTACTCCTCAGCACATGCCTTGTGGCTGCTGCTGTGGGCAGAACATAGAGGGCTACGTACTACCAGTCCTGAGCAGCAAGGAGACCAGGCAAAGCTGCTGAACTAACTGCAATTTGTGTTTATTTTCAGGGTTCCTATGGTGTTGTGAAGCTGGCCTACAACAAGGATGATGACAAGTATTATGTAAGTGTCTTCTCTCCACAGTCTCCACTGCTCCTCATTTCCTTTTGTACCTGTGAGAGCTATGTCCCCCCTTTCCTTGCTGCTTTTAGCACATGCGTTTCTGATTTGAGCGGCATGCAAGGATACAAACATCCCTGCTGGGCATGGAGTGGTATGCAGTTGTCTGTGCATCTGCTTGTGTGCCTATGTGTTGTGGTGAGTGGGAATCAGGTGGGCTGCATTATGTAACAGACAAGGGCCTTGCAGGCAGGAAGCATATTGGTGATTTGTCCTGACACTGTCTGGCTATCAAGCAGGCTACTTGAAATGAAAGGCATGTGTGGGTGGTGGTAGTCAGCACCTGCTCTGCATTGGAAGAGCGACCTGCAATGAGCATGCCTGTTTTTTAAGGAAACACAAGGTTTTATCAGAAATGCTGAATGGCACGGCTCAGCTTGGCTGTGTCTGGCTCTGCTGCATCTTTCCTTCTTGCAGGATGCCTCTCCATAAACTAAACAGGTGTAGGATGCAGTGCAGAGGGCAAGCCTTGGCTTTTAGATGTTTTGCTGAACTGAAGCCAGAATTAGAGGGTTTAGATACAGAAAGGCTGTATATGCTGAAGCCTCCTTGTCTGTCACTCTCTTTTCAGAAGCAGGCAAATCCTAAATGTTCAAGCTGGGATTCCTGCAAAACCCACTTGTGAAAACTGTTAATTTTGTTTGGGCTGCAAGCAGGAGCTGGGCAGCTGGCAAAAGGAAAACTGCCTTGTTGTGTGTGGATGTGCCTGAAGGCTTGTGGAAAGCAGCTTGCTTTGAGCAGTTGCTGTTGAATGACAGGTGTCTGCTGGGAAGGGCCCAGTGTTGCAGTGCTGTGAAACCCAAACCCAGCTGCCTTCCAGGCAGCCTTGTCAGTCTGGCCCAGCAGTGCAGATGCTGCTCCGTGCCCTGTTCAGCAGCGGGACAGTGCAGGGCAAGCACATGGCAATCTCATTTTCCCTGCTGCAGTGGAGCAGTCTTGTGTGATTGGGAATGTAGCCATCAGAGTGCCCTGACAGACTCGTGTTGGTGCAGTGCAGAGGGGAATAGGAATGTTCTATGGAAACGTAACATGTGCTCACTCCTGTGGTGGTGAGAGAGTGACTGTGGTCAGCCCAGCTAGTTTTCTTTCCCTGGTTCTTGGATTTACAAGTGGCATACAAGGTTAGAGAGACTGTGTGGGAGTTGCATGCCTGTTAGTATCCCTCGCCCTTCCTTTCTGCCAGAGGGCATGAAACCATGGGAGATGTACCTTGAAGGATGGAAGAGATGAGACAAAAATCTGGAGAAGGTGCCCTGAAGCTGGCCAAGCAAAGGAACTGCAATTCTTTCCATCCCAGGCTGACTCACCCACCGCACTGGAGTGGTTGCTGTTTCTGAGGGCTCCCTTTCTTTTCTGCTCTCTGAATGCTTCCCCCATGTCCTGGAGCAACACAGTTTAGCTCTGCAGAGAACAGCAGTGCCAGCTGTGGCTCCCCTGATGCATCTGTTCCATCAGCCTAGGGGAGTGCCAGGGCCAGTAGCATGAAGTAGGGAATGCATCACACTGTATTTATTTCAGTCTAAGCATTTTTTTTTTTCGTGGTGGAAATCCTGATGCGGTGCTCTGGCTGCTCTGAGCAGGCAGGGCAGTTGTCACATCTCAGCAGGCAAGAGGTCAGTGTAGTTGGTGTTGTGAACTGTCTTCTTTGTTCATGCTTTGGCTGCAGGTGAACACCTCAGATGTAGGTTTAACTGGCCAAATCAAAGTTAAAAGTGAAGGCCTAGGTCAGGTTAGCCTGCTGTGTGTTAGTTAATCCCTGCTTAATCTCTGTTTAGTTTCCTAATCTAGGCAAATGCCTTGAAGCTACTGTAGCCTGAGAGTGGCTCTGATGTCACTGCACCTCTGATTTGGCCTTGCTAGCCCAAGAGAGACAGGATGCACAAACCCAGCCATTGCAGGGATGCAACTGTTTGGTTCTCCTTTGCCATTGGGGAGTTAACTCAGGGGCTGAAACAGAACGGGGGCTCTGTGCCTGAAGCTGATCCTGGGAGATGTGAGAGATGCAATAGTGGCAGAGGTGGAATCAGAGCAGAAGCATCAGGACTGTCACCACTGTTTCACTGCTGTGAGTGTAAGCATATGGGAAAGGAAAGGGCAGGTGACTGCACTGCTGACCTGCAGGAAGGAAGGCTGCAGTGCTACTGCCTGTGCTTCACATCCTTGCTAATCTTTTGGCTGGGGTAGTGAAGCTTTTTCTTTTCCCCCATGCTTCTAAATGGCCACGCTTATGTTTACCAGAGCCGAAGATTTTTTTTAAAGCTTCAGAGAAACAAAAGCAAATTGCATAATTATCTAATGGTTGCTCAGCTCCCCACACCTCCCAGTGTGTGTGACCTCCGTGCTGCTTCCAGCTCTGAGGTAACTCCATGCAGCTCTGCTTATCGCTCCCGTCTGAGGCTGTTACAGCAACCCTGACCCACTGGGCACGGGTATCTAATGCAAATGTATGTTACCAGCAATTACAAGAAGCAATTGTGATTCTGACAGTTGGGGAAAGCCTTTTCTGTGCGTGTTGTCACCAATTTGGCTCTGGAGGATTGTTTTTATGTCAGTGGTGTAAAGCAGTAACAGACAATGGGAGAAAATCATCCCCTTGGTTGCATTAAGTGAGCAGTCCCAGTGGCTGGTTCACATGTACAGTGCTTTAGCTTTAGCTCGAGACCAGGGTGTTTCTGCATGCTTTGTTTTCTTTGAGCTGGAATGCTGCAATAAAAAGGAGCAAATCTTAAAGCAGAAAAATTTGTTGTGGAGTACAATTCAGAGCATGACACATCTGATTCTTTCTGAAACACAGGGCCTTTTGCAAGATCTTCTCCTAATTGCAGGTATCAGGAATTGAATCTCTGACAAAGGGAATGGAGAGATTTCTCTTGCTTGAATGAATTTTGGGCATGACCTAGAATTAGGAAAAACTCTTAGAAAAAAAAGCTGATCATCACATCTGGGGAAAATGTGGAGTTGTATTTATTTTGTGGATCGTTCTTCCTTCCATTAAAGATGAGCAAGTGCTTCCAAGAGCTGTGTACTTTGTTGCTGTGAACAACTGCAGTGCTGTGAAGGGCTGTGAAATCTTGTTTATTTACATCAACGGATGCAGGGAACATTTCAGCCTGGGGAAACTGAACTTCTAGTACCAAGCATGTGACTGGTGCTCCCTCCAAGGAAGTGACCCTTCAGCTGCAGAGCTGGGTACAGAAAGCTGCCTCTGCCACTGCAGCAGCGTGTAAAGCTGCTAAAGCAATGTTTGCAAGGCTCTGCCAAGGAGCCCTTTGTGGCTGGGAAGGTTTCAGTGTCACAATTTGCAGGAAATGCTTTGACAGTGAGCAGGGGTAAAGAGCAGAAAAAGCCAAGCTCTGTTGAAAGAGCAGCAAATAAAAAGCAAAGGCAAATGTGTCCAGGTGGAGATCTAATTTGGAGTCATTGTGCTGATGGAATTTGATTCTGTGATGCCTCAGGTCATGTCTCCTTCCTGTTTTCAATCTCTAAATCAGCTCACAGAGAAAAGTGGTTATGATGGACATTTGTTACACTAGTTTTGGACAAAAGCAATAGCATTGTAGGTTGTCAGTAAGTTGCTTTTTTCCCCTTTTTTAATCTGGTTTCCTAAGAAACAAGATTTGTGTTATCAGGCTGTCTACCTGTATATACCTAACAATCTTTGTATCAGGGCTCTTTGCTCCCAAGTTTCAGGGTGGGGAGGAGAGGTCCCTTCTGAGCTGATGAACTCAGAGAGCTGCATAAAGTGTTACTGCAGGGTGAAAGATGGTCACCAGCGAGTCTTACTGTTGTGCATGCTGCGAGGATTTGGATCACCCCAGGTAAAAGTGGGAACAGGATTTTGGGATGTGGCAGCTAAGCCTGTCGGGGCTTTTCTCTCACCCCACAGCATTCCTCTCTCCTGGCAGAGCTGCTTAGCCGCTTTCTCTAAGGGTGCCACTGTCAGAGAGGGCAGGTGGAAGAGGACTGGGAATGTGCTGTGATCCTCTCAGCACTCCCACGGTGCTGGATCATGCTCTAGCAGAGGATTTTGGTGGTTAGTAGCCAGGCTTTGAACCATTTCCCTCTCCCCTGGGAGCTGTGGGTCTGGACTGTGTATGGTTTTCTGTTCTTGCACGGGTTTGGGTCCTTTTCCATGCAAGTCCTCCTGTTACCAAATAAGATTACATCCCAAGTGTTGCGAGAATATCACAAGGCACAGCTGATTGGTTTCCTTGTTTTGTCGCTATTCCATCCCCCAAATAACAGACGTTTTCCAGTTGTCATTAACACAAACAGGGTGTTGAGTTCGAGGCCTCACTGTTGTGAAGGCTGCTATGTCCCAGGTCCCTCCTCCTGCATAAATCTGAGATCTCCTCCCTAGATGTCCTCACAAAACCGCTTTCCTGTGAGTTCAAGCTACAGGGTTGCTATGGGGAGTGCAGAAGACTTAAATAATAAATGGACATCAAAGAGAAATGCAGAGTTCCCACTGCCTGTCAGAAAAATGTCACGGCTCGTGTCCTTGTGTGAATAGTCGGAAGGAAGGTGGGTGCAAGGGCGTGTGGAGGGGGGATCTTTGAGGGTCTCCTCTTTTCCTGAGGAAGCTGAAGCAATACTTAGCAGTGTAAAGGGAAAATCCCTTGGCTTGGCTCTGAGCTGATTCTTTATCAAAAAAAAGCATTATCTGGGTAATTAGCTCTGCCTGCAAATAGAAATGCCTTTGGCACTTTCCTGCATGTGAGCCTGGAAGGAGCGATTTGCTGGATCATCTCTGTGTTGCTCTTGTAATGCACAGCTCCAGTTCATTGAGGAAGCCTCATTCTGTAATTACAGTGCAGCTTCACTGCCATGTGTTCCCATCTCCGCTTTTGTGATAATTAAGCAGCTCTGACCTTTTGCATGATAAAGTTTGTTTTTCATTCCACATTTGTGTTTAGAAGTTCAGTGGCACAGGTCCTCTCTTCTGATGCAGCCCTGCCTGTATGATACCCACAGCTACCACAATTTGAAAGTGGTGTAGATGTATCCTGACAGCAGAGGTGGTTTGTAGTCAGCTTACCTACGTTACAGAAACTCCCACTTGTTTCCCTGTGACCCTTCATAATATCTTTTGGAGAGGCTGGGTGACCTCAGAAGCTCTTGTTGTCAGCCTTCCTTCTTCAGTATTGCTCCTCTCTGTCCTTTAGTGCTTCCATCTCGCCGTCCCCAGAGCTGACCCCAGCCAGGACTGGGCTGATGCAGGCACAGCTGTAGCCATAGTTCAGTTTCTAAAGCTCTGATGCAGCTTGGGAGTTTTATGCACCAAATTATATCTTCTATTTCTTCTTTCTCTAAAGCTTATTGCCAGAAGGCAAAGGTCTCAGGGTGGGACTGAGGCAACAGGGGCTTTCTATTCCCAGGCTGGTGCTGTTGGCAGATAAATAAGTATATAAAGCCCTTTGATACTTTTTTCCTACCAACTTGCCTAATGGAGTGATAAAAGCAAGGGATGCAAGAAGTCCTCTGGGCTTGGTCCTGACCATTCTTGGATGTGGTTGTGCATGTCTTGGATCACTTTTCAGTAGACTGTGAATCATTTGGCTGCCTGTATTGGAGACAGCGTTGTGCAAAATGAAAGATAAGTCCTTTTGAGCCTGTCTCTCAGTGCTGTCATTTCCATTGGCTCAGGAGCTGTCAGGCAGGATTGAGAGCCTCACTGAGCTGAGCCAGGTTCTCTTCTCAATTACACGGGTGCAAATCCAAAGGATTTCACTGGATCAGTACCAAAAATAACAATCCTTTCAGTGAGCTGTGAACCTGGCTGCAGCGTGAGCGTGGGTGAGGACCTCGGGGCTCACAGCAGCATTGCCAGCAAAAACAGCTTGAGAAGGAGCTCGCTGAAATGGCTTTGGTGACCTGTTCCTGGTGGATGTGTTAATAACAGGCAGTGTGCAGAGCCTGCCATCATGGAAGTAATACAGAATTCCTTGGCGTTCGACTGTGTCCTGCAGGAGTCTTTTGCTAATTATGTTTCAGTGGGGGTCACTCTGGTGTGAATTAGAGATTTGTATGCTTAATTAAGAGGAGTAGCTACCTATCCTGGGAGAGGGAATGAGTAACTGTCCCATCGCCAGGGAGTTTAGACTATTTGCCTAAGCAAATTGTACCAAGAGCTGGTTCTGCATGGAAATTTATTTGATGGGCCACTTGGGGATGTGGCCCTCAGAAAAGTTATGAACTCACAGATGAGATGGAGGTACAGAGGCTGTTCATTAAATTCACATTGCCTTTTGTCATGGTGTTAATACCAATTGGATGGCAGAAAAAATTACAGTGACTCCATCCCATGCTTCCTGTGTTTGTGCTTTTGCCAGCGCATGATCGGGTGGGAGGTGAGAGGGAGACTGCTGAAAAGATGCACAGAAATGGCTGCACCACTGCTGAGGCTGCAGGGATGGGTGCCTGTGAAGTACCTCTCTAATGACCTTGGGTATCGTGCTGGATCACAACAAAGATGCTACTTGTTGCTCTAGCAGTCAGGAAGAGGCTTTATAGTGTAAAAATGGTTATGAGAATGCATAAGGCCTTCTGAGGCAAGGCAGAGCTGTGTCCTCACTGTACCCTGGGTGTGTGATGGAGGTTGAAGGATGTTAGTGGTATGGCTTTGACACTCCAGCTCTTTTGCTTCCTAAACCTTCTGGCAAGGCAAAAAGGAAGGTGGAGCATCCTGGACACTTCTCTGACTTCCAGCACGGCCGTAGCATCGTCTAGAAACAAGTTACATAAATGTTCAGTTGAGGAACCCACCTCTTCCCTTAAGTTCCAGCCTTAAATGCGGGAATTGGATTAATTTTCCTATATCCTATTTGAAATTAATTAAAACCAGTAATTTTTTCTGTGGGATGACCACCATGCTCCATCATCAAAGCAGTGAGCACTTTGAGTTCTTGTTTGGTTTTAATACTGATTTTTCATTTTCCTTCAGGCTATGAAAGTCCTCTCCAAAAAGAAGCTCCTGAAGCAGTATGGATTTCCACGTGGGTATCTCACGTTCTGAGATCTGCTTGTTGTCCTCAGGCAGATCTGTCAATAGAAACATTGCCTGGAAGGAGTGCAGAACTTTACCTTGTTTGAAGGTTTCCCAAGTAGTTCGAGGGCTGGTTAAAATGCAGTGGGTGGTGAAAGACCAAGCACAAAGAAATTCAAAGCACTTGGTAATTGGGTTTCTCGCTTTGATTTTCTCGTCTTTGAAGTACTGGCTCTTCCCTGTTCATCATATATGAAACCTAATTAAGTGCTGGAATTTAGGTAGGGTTAGACCCCCTTCCTCCCAGGGGCTCTTCTGTCCCTTTAGAATAGCACCTTGTCCAAAAAGTGGGGCAGTGGGATCTGACGGGCAGACCAGGCTGGAAATTCAGCAGGAGCAAGCCTAAATGTGTTTTGGAAATCACTGTTCAGGGTAGAATCTGTAATGCTTTGGAATCATAATAAGGCAATGAGATTTTCCAGAGTAGCCCAAGATACCCTGCAGAAGTACCAGTTGCTGCTCACTCCTGCATGCTGAAAGGTGAGTTCTTCCTCACTGTGTTATTGTGATTGCAGGTCGACCTCCTCCTAGAGGGTCAAAAACATCCACTGGTGAGCAGTCCAAAACAATGGCACCACTGGACAGAGTCTATCAGGAAATAGCCATATTAAAGAAACTGGACCATGTCAATGTTGTTAAACTGATAGAGGTGAGCTACTTCTCCACCCTAAGCTACACAGAAACAAGTCTGGTTTGTATTGTGACAAGAGGATGTTTCTTCAACTGCTCTTACTTCAGCTGAAATTGTTTTAAAACAGTTGTTTAAAAATACAGGTTGTTTATCTTAAATAAGATCAAACCAGTTGTGTGTGACAGACTGACACACTTACTCTGGGCTTTGGCCTAGTGCCCAAGTGAGGGCAGCTGGATGTGCTGGTAGAAACAGCAGCAAGCTTTGACCAATGAAACTTGTGCATAGACAAGCATGGGAAGGTGGACAAACTCAAGGCTTCGTTGCCCTTTTCAATATTAGCTATTGTCAGATCAGGATAAGCAGTGCCTTTTTATTGGTAAGCTACAAATATGGGGAGAAGTTGGAAAATGTGTCCTGTGTCCTTCAACGCCACCACCACCAATCCCCCCAGGAATCTCTGACTGTCAGTGTAACTCTTTCTTAATGCTTTGCAGCTTAGCATAGCGGACAGGGAGCAGTGGAATGCTGTGTGATTAAAAATGACTTTCCCTGCTGTTTTTCTTTCTTCTCTCAATTCTGTTTTCAATTACAGGTCCTTGATGATCCTGCAGAAGACAACTTATACATGGGTATGTGAATCAGAGCTGTCTGAACTTTAGACTTAGTGGTGCAAATAACTTGTACCAGGACCTGGGAGGGAACTTGTACCAACTTAGCAGAATTAGTTTTCCTCAAATGGCAGTCCCCTTAGGGTAAGGTAGCCATGTGTTCCAGCAGAGCTGCACCCATCTCCTTGTCCATAAGGACACTGAAAAGATGTGACAGCTGCTCTGGCCTCTTCTTTATATATGCAGGTTCCAATTCCAGAGCCAGGAAAGAAGGGAAGGGTGCAGGAAGGTTTCTTGTACTGCCAGTATGAGATTAATCTCTCAAGTCTCCTGTAGACTTTGGACTGTGGTAGTGATTCAAGAAAGTCATCTCAAGGTGACCCCAGCATTCAACTTCCTGATGAGTGTTGGGACCTCCTAAGTTAGCAGCACTGCTGTCCTTGGCTGCTTAGCCCAACCCATGCCTTGGGCATTCAGACTGGGAGGTAGTAATGCATTTATGCAAAGGGTGGGAAATTTCTGTCCATTTTCTCTTCCATCTAGGAAGTGCTCTGTTTTGAGCAGAATCCAGAGGGACAGGGAAAGCACCAGGGTGCCAGATCCTCAGAGATGAGGACATCTGACAGAGTTATATCTCTGCTCTGTAGTGTTTCCTGATGAGATAGGCTTAAAGGCTGCTTCTCATAAAAATAATTATGGGATGCTTTGAAGCTGCCTGTGCAAGGAGTCTGTGCCTAGCAAATGAAGCTATTTGCCTTTGAAAGGCTGCTGCTCTTCCCTGTCTGCTGGAGCCCTGTGGGCATTCTGGCAGCATCCCAAAGGTGGCAGGTAAGGCTGATGCTAGTTAAGACAACCAAGGGCATTGTTTTAAGGCCTGAACTCCTGCGGATGGAGAGAAAGGAAAAGATGAGGGAGCAAGGTTTCTCATTGCATGAAAATAAATGCATGAGGCAGTTAAAAAAGCTGCAGAAAATAAAAAGAATAATCAGTCCTGGAAATGGCAGCAATGGTAGGACGACTGGGGAATGTCTTGATCTCATTGGCACTGAAAAATGCAACTAGAGAAAATGGAGTTTGCTCGTTGATAATTATTATTAACAGTAACTGTGAGTGATCTCCTCTGCTGCTTGTTCAGTGAGAAGAAAGCAGAGGATTGAGGGTAGTGGTGGAAATCAGAGCAACCTGAAATGGTGCAAAATGGTTGAATGATGAAATGCTACCAAAAGCTGCGGCTTCTTCAGGGAAATCTTTCTTGAGGGAAAATTTTGCTGATGCAGGCTGACTTGTATTTGTAACTTCAGCTGACCAAAGTCACAGCTATAAGCAGGTCTGTGTGTGCTTTGCAAGGAGCAATCTGCTGGGATTTCTTCAGAGGTGCAAAAAATTCCTTAGTAACTCATGAGGAAGGAGCTCTCCTACAGATAATGGCAGATTGTTCTGGCACCAGTTCTGCTTGTGCCTTACACATCTGGTGCCAAGACCTCCAATGGGAGCGTGCTGCACTCTTGGAGATACGGACACGGCCCTAGAGTGGAGCTGGGCATTTTAGACTTCTGCAAACCAGAAGCTGAGTGACGTTAAGTGTCTGCTTTAGTTTGCAGAAGGGGTCAGAGGCAGGCCTCCTGCTGGCTCAAAAGCATTGTTCCCATCACTGCTGTTTTGCTCCCTGTTGTTCTGTAGCCTGGCTTTTTGGTAGCTGTGTATGTTGGGCTGCAGAGGAGCATTCCCCTTCAAAAGGTCAAAGGGTCTCAAGCACCAGGCTGGAGCTAGAAGACTTCAAATGTCCCTGTTGTTTTCCTGCAAGTTGCTTCATATCCTTGTATTGCTACCTAACAGTATTTCATGAAACCTCAGTAATTGCTGCCAAAGGATCAGAAAAACACCCACGGCTGGGACAAGCTGCCATTTTAACCCCTGAATCAGACACACAAACTCTCATACTCCGCAAACCTCAACTCATGCCAATAAATTCTCTACAATTGCACCCCCAGGGAGTGTTTACCTCTCTGATAGCATTATAGCTGTGCTGCTGATGCTCACGGCAGAAATGGAGCAGTGTGTTCTTAAAGCACCTCATTCAGTATCAGCAACTTAGCAGAAATATCACCAAACACCTGCCTTGGAGGTGGAGGTACTGAATGAGGCAGGCCTCAAATCAGCAAGGACTAACACTGGGATCAGCAGAAATATGGCTAGTAGATTACCCACTGTCCTCCTTCTTGAAACTGGCAGGAGGTGGGGATATTTGTCTTTGTTAAAGAGATGAATATTCTCATTTAGCATCTCCTGATGTTCTTGTCATGTGGGAACTAAGAAAGGTGAAGGAGATAAATGGATTTTGCAGGCATAGGAACGAATGCAGTGTTATAGGTGCTAAAAAATGAATAAGCCTGGTTCTCTCTTCTGTTTCACTCATGACTTGATTTCCTTCCTTGCAGTGTTTGACCTCCTGAGGAAAGGGTAAGTAGCCCTTCTGGGATCCCGTGCTGAAATTTTTGGTGTTTATTGTTAGCTTCCTAGGTGAAATTGAAGTTTTGATGCGCACAGTGGGGCAAACCACCCTCTACAGGCAAGCACAGAGGAGACAAGCCAATAGTTACCTTCATGCTGTCACAGCCTGGGACATTGCAGTGGATCATAGTGGGCTCAGAGAAAATGTGTCCTAGTGTCAGGTTTTGATCCTGATGCTAAATTTGGTGCCATTTCCCCACTGGATGCCTGGAAGAGAAGTTCTTTGTAGGGAATATTATGCTGGGGTAGCCGCCATATCATAGCTTTCTCTCAAGACTCAAGAGTGTAAAATAACATCAATGATTACTTGTGATGCATGGCCTTACATTGCCCTCAGTATGAACATGAGGCTGTTTTGTTGGCACATTTCCATGGCAGGTGCAGTGATGTGGTGATGGGTGTCTGCACTGCTATTTGCTACACCTGGGCTGGACCTGCAGCCCTGCGGAGTTGCAGTAAGGTTGAGAGAGCTGAACCCAGGATGGGGGAGATTCCCCAAGAGCTTGTTTCTCTCTTTAGCCCACAAACAAGCCTCTTGCAGATGGCCAGCACCAGCAGGCTGTTGGTGGGAGGCTCCCAGTCTCCCTGGTGACCAGGCTGATGACTGTAGGAGGCAGTGGGGGGAAGCTCCTGCAATCAGCTGAGGCCAGGGCCAGCGGATGTGCTGTTTGACCAAGCACAGCCTGCCTGCCTCTAGCGGAAGGCAATTAGACTCCATTAGTTGCTCTGTCAGTCCTGTCGCTCACGTTATTTCTGCCCGGTTTCAGCAGCAGAAAAATGTTTATAAAGAGGGGGAGAAGGCAATTGCAGAAAGATGCAAATTGGAGAAGAAGGTTATCTATCAAACTGCAGCAAGGGGGGAAGAGAGAAATGCCTCAGGAGCAGCCTCTGCTCAGGTAGAGGGTTGGTCCTGGACCTTCTGAGATCCAGGCTCTCAGTGATAGGACCACAACGATGCAGAATAATTTCAGAAACATGAAACAGTAATGAGTGCTGCTGCCACTTTGCAAAAAACTCAGGAACTCGGTTACTCCTTCTTCCTTACAGGGCTGTCATGGAGGTACCAAGCGATGAGCCATTCAGCGAGGATCAGGCCCGGCTCTACTTCCGAGACATTGTTTTGGGCATTGAGTACTGTGAGTACCACCAAAAGGGATGGCTGTTTTGCAGTGCATGTCAGCCTCCTGTTCTGCTGGAGAGAAGCCTATCAACATCAGTAGGCTGTATCAGCTTAGCCAGTGAGATCCTCTCTAATTGCATGTGACAGGGTTTGCAGATGGTGGTCCTGCTCAGCTCAGGTTTACCCAGGTTGCATAACAGATGCTGGAAGCAGACATTCTGTGGAAGGGACATTAGGAAAATGGCTTGCATTATGTCCTCTTTTATCTTTTCAGAGAGTCTTTGAAAGCAATGGCAGAGCTAGCAAAGAACCATTTGCAATGATGTAGATGAGTCAGTAACTTCAGCTGAAACAGAGTGCTGTCTCCATCTTAGCAAGGCAAGCACTAACCATGGGGACAGCAGCCTCTGAAAGTGGCTAGTTTGGTAGAGCTGGGCATTTATGGGTGCAGATACAAATCTTTACCACTAAGAGGTTATGAGTCAGAGACCCTGGTGCTTTGATGTGGTGTAGCACTGCTTGCTGGCCTTACTCCCGGGCTGTTTCTGAACATACTATGCTGCACATTCCCACTCCTCTTGAGCCTCAGTACCAGCGTTGTCCCCACGTCAGAAGGCACAACTTGGATCCTCTGTTGATCACTCATGCTAGCCTAAGACCTTCTCTCCCTTTTCTAACAGAAGGTCTCTGCCTTTCCTCTCATGGTTGCTCTTTGCACTGGATCTCTTCATGCCCCTAGTGCTGCCAGGGACCCATGTTGCACAGTATCATCTGAGAGATATAACCATAAGTCATCTGGTAACTGCTTGTGTACCAGCAGGTTGTCAGATGCTGGTGAGCAGCATTTGGCATTTTGATTCTGCTGTCCTTGTTGTAGGTGGCCTTCCTCAGTGGTTAGTGATCTTGTTATTAACTTCTGTCTCTGCACACTCGTGTGCTAAAGAATTGGCCATGATTGGATGGCTCAATAAGGGGAATAAGAGTCAACACAGCTTTTTCAGAGGGAATTCATGCCTCACTGATCTGATAGTGTTCCAGAGGAGTCAACAAAAATGTAGATAAGATGATCCTTTTGCTACAGCGTGCTTGGATTGTCAAACTGCTGTTGATTAGATTTGTTAACAGAAGCTCATAAAGAAAGTATTTTTGGTTGGCTGATCTCTTTTATATTAACAACTAGACATTGATCAGGAAAGTAGGAACACAGCTTTTACAGTGGAGAAAGGTCACTTGTGCTGTTAAACAGGAGTCCATCATGTGGCTGGGTTGTTTAATATATCCCTAAATGCCCAGAAATAGAATATATTGCAATATGAGAGGCTGGTGATGACAGCTAGTTGTTCAAGAGTAGTCATCATTAGAACTGACTGGAAGGGAGATGGCGTGATAGTGAGTGATGGTATGATAGAAAGGCAGATAAAAATCCTTGTTGCCAAATACAGATATTTTATGAGGGGGAGAAACAGCACTAAAAATATGTACATCGTGACAGGCTCTAAATGAGCTGTTCTCACTCAGTTCTCGTTCTGGATAGTTTTCTGGTAAATGCCATTGCCTAGAGATAGTCAACAAAGTTAACAGGATTTAGTGAATTACTGGGAATGGAATGAAGAATAAAGTAGAAAATATCATTATGCAATTGTTTGGATCTGTAAGAGCTCTTAGATACTAGAGAATATCTTGAATGCTGTATACAGTTCTGCACTGCAGTTCTGCACTGTCTCAGAAACCACTCTCTAGAGAAAAACCTAAAAAAGGTGATCAGAAGGATCCTGTACAGAGAGATGAAATAAAGCACTTCAGTTTTGAAAATTACCATGGGATATGGCAGAGACTATCCTGTGCCTCTGAGGAGAGGTGAACAGAAAGAACTGAGGAGTAGCAAACAAAATAATCAAGTGGCAAGTTTTAAAAAGAAGGAAGGTAATTAACTGTGACATTAATTGCTGAAAGAGATGGCAAGTACTTGAAGTTAATGGACTCAGAAAGGACTTGACAAATTTGTAGCAGAAAGGAGTATCAAGGGCTGTTATATATGAGAATGCAGGCTGTTTGTCTTTGGGAGTGTCTGTGCTGTATGTTTTGCATCTGTCTGCCTAATGCTTTTCTCCAAGCTATTGACCCTGACAGGAGATGGGCTCCTGGGGAGGGTGGGCCTCTGGTACATCCTTTCTTAGTTTCAGTGGCAAATCTGAAGATGGAGCAGCCAACAGGGAGGGGGCAAACACATTTGATCAAGTGTTTGTCAGCCATGGCAAGTGAGCATTGTGCAAAGTAAGAAGCATCAGATATTTGCAAAACAGAGAGCTGTGTCACATCCCTGTGTCATTTGAGGTGATGTTTTCCCAGCTGTTACAACATCAGGAAGAAAATAGGAAGGAATTGGTTCAACTGTACTTTCAAAGGCCCAACAGGTAGCTGTGTCAAGCATGAAAAGAATATTTCATGCTGCTGTAGTGCCTTGAGCCACATCTGCCTTCATTTCACTCAATCTCAAGTGGCTCCTGCAAGCTCAGCACTCCTGAGGGTCAGGGTGGGCCCCTCCCTATCCTAAAGCTTTCATTGAAGGTGTATCACCAGGTTTCAAATGGAGACCAGTTCTTGCAGAGAACTGTTTTCTGATGAGTGTTGATAGCCCTTGCCAAGGCAGAGCAATGTGGTTTGCAGTGTCCTGGTCCATCTTCACTGAAATACAGTGGCACCTCATTTTGTTTATCTAACATTAATGGGAAAAGTAGCAGCTGGTGGGAAATGAAATCATTGTTTGCTCTTTTGTGACAGTCCAGAGAATTCCGTGCTAGAAGCTAAAAAAGCAGTCTGCTGAAAGGTTTTTATGAATGGGGATGGGAACCTTAAGGCTGCTTTTCAGTAGAGTCTGAAGGGCAAAGACTGCAGCTTTTTATATTCTCATCAGTATTCACACAATTGCAGAACCTGCATGCCTCAGCTGGGAGATGCAGGCTCTGCTGTGCTGGATGCTGCTGGCACTTGCAGTAGGTAACAGCTCTTGCTTAGAAGAAAGTTTAACTTAGAAGGCAGTAAAAAAAAAACAAAAGTTCTTGTTGTCCTTGGCAAAGACAGTGAAATGGGGCAATAAATTATAGGATGCTCAAGCACTCACAACAGCGGGAACAAAAGGATGCTTTATTTTGGGTTATTGAGTAAGCACTTATTTTATTAGCAAATGAAAGTTAAAAATGGTGTTCTCTCAGAGCTGCTGGGTAAATGCATGGCAATTATTATGTAATTACAGGGGGAAAGTGCACCATCTATGCACACTGAAGAAAAAGTGTTGCCAGGCAATCTAGAGATTGCAAGGTAGTTTTAATGGAAGCATACATAATTGTTATGTAATTTGGGAGACTCTAACCATGCAGCTGCTTGAAGCTCACAGTCATCACAGCAGCAAATGCATCATTGCTGGTTGAGTTCTATTAAATTAGAAGTTGCAAAGTGGATTCCTGTCAGAGCCTGCAAGGTGTTAATCCAGGTCCATGTGTGCACTCTGCAAACAGAGGTAGGCAGTGAAGTGGCTGCAGTAGCCAAACAGATGGGAGATGTGGGGTGACCTTTAAAATGATGGGCGATGGCAGGGGGTCCACAGGCACTGTCTGTCAGTGGGGGGATAAGCTGTGCTTGTTATTCACAATGCTTGCCTGCAAGGAGGACTGATCTGGAGAGAAGCATTTGGAGGCAGTGTGGTAATACTACCAGTTCACCTGTTTCGGTTTTGTTTGTGTCTTAAGCCTAGGCTCTGTGTGAACTGCTTTGGGAGTCATTTAATCACACACACACTTTAATTCATGTCCTGTAGTGAAATGGGCTCTGCAAAGGAAAGTGCTTTTCCTTCTGCTGGGAAGACTTCTCCAGTACTACTTGTGTTGCTCTCATGAAGTGGGGAGGCAGTGTGCTGTGAGTGCCACTGGAATGGTGATTTAAGAAGCTACTTAAACGTTTTGGATAGAAAAGTTTTGCTGGATTATCCATGTCATTAACTGAAGCATGTGCTCACGTGCCTCCGAATTGGGGATATTTGCAATTACCTTCCTTTCTACTTGTAATCTGCCTCTAGTAGTGTTTATCTGGGGTTATTTAAATTTCAGTCTTCTTTCTGGTAAGCATTGCTTTCCCAGTGGCAGTCAGAAGAAATGGATGTGCGAGTCACCAAAGGAATCAGCAGCCAAGCCAGGAATCAACCCTAAAAACTGGAGGCTGAGTGGGGTGCTCCTCTGCAGGCCAAGCAGCTGCACAGAGTGAGCTGAGGTGCCAGCACTCAGGACAGGCAGATGTTGTAGCCATGCTTCGAGGGTCAGTAACTCAGGCATTTTCTTAGCCAGAGGTGTTTTTTTTTCTCTAATAGCCGCTGATATTTTTTTCCATTAATATGTTCAGTTCTTTTTTAAGCTTTTGTCAGTTTCCAGCATCTGTTACCTGTTTACATGGTGTGGGAAGCAGTTTCCATCTGTGTTTGAATCTGGTCCTGGAGGCTTCAGCTGACAGAAGGGGTGACCGGACACAATCGTGCTCTGTCTGCACTGCCCTGCTTTTAAAGATGTCTGTTGCATTGTACTTTAGGGCTGACTGTTGGAGGCTGCAGAGTCCCTATCTATGTCATTGTTGCAAAGTGTCCTTCCATCCCTTTGAGCATCTGTTAGAAAAAGCTAGGAATCGTGGAGTCCCCCAGGCCTAATTAATGACAGCACAGCTGTATTTTGGAGATAGAAATGTGGCTGAAAATACTTACCGTGCTTCCTTCCCCCAGGAAAACATACAGGTTTTCTGGACAAAGCCAGGTGTTCTGCTGTGCCTTACTTACTGTTCTGTTCTGATACCTTGCTTGTGGCGATAATACAGGTTTGGTTTCATGACATTGTTTAAGTTTCCTTCTGCACTGAGAGGTAACTGATAGTTTGTAATTGCACAGAAGATGGCTTTGCTGAGTGATGGTGCGTTTGGCATGGTGCTATTTCACTTTGGCAGATGAACAGTGGAAATCAGTATCGGGTGAAGGGAGGG